GACATAAACACATAAAATCATTTCTATTTTTGAATCACCTTTTAAACAATAATCATTTGATGAACAATTTGAACATTGATCAATAAAACGATCATAACCAAAACATTCAACACGCTGATGATCCACGTGACATATACATATATAATCATTACCATAAAAACATAATAACGATGTATTCTTTTGACATATACTGTGATATTTAAAAATAGTCATGTCTGTATTATCTTGGAAATAGAAAAATAAATTAAGTAAAAGTTATACTTAGATAACGGCTTGGCCAAGTAATTCTGCTATCGCAATGTCCTTCATAACGTTTTTCTGCATTTTGTTTATTTCATAGTTTTCAAACGAAAGAGAATATAGAGCTCTGCAACATCTTGAACAGAAAAGTCTGTTGAAAATTTTGAGATGTTTCCGTACTGTACATAATTTTCCGTGCAAAAACTGAGATAAAAATACCTACTTTTTCGAATAAGTTTTGAAAAGTAGATGTTTATATTTTTATCTCAGCTTTTGAACGAAAGATTGTGTATCGCGTGGACACTAGTCGATAATGAGCTAGGTCGGAATAGCTGAATCAGCTTTCCAGTTTTCTCAGCTCTAAATCAGCCCTGAAAAAACTGAAAATTATTTTTCACAAAAACATTTGTTCTTGTCTTTTTCTTCTCACTGATTCCGAGCTAGATATTCTGATCAGTACTTTTAGGACTGATTCAGTTAATCTGATGATCCTGAGTAATAATAATGTGTCTTTGTGTTAATTTCATACTAATAAGCCTATATAAGGTAGGCATATTCGTGCCACAAAAGTTAGATATCTCTCCGCCTTAATTTACACAATAATAGTTTATTGTCAAAGTGAACACAATATACAAAAACTCCGTCACACTGCCATTTTGTAACTCAATCGAACAGTAATTGTTTTATCGGTAGTTTGAACAGTAGATATTGTGGAATTATTGTTATTATTTTATTTTCTATAAAGGAGTATTGGTTTTTATTGTTTCCTAATTTAGTTTTAGCATGTGATGATCATTACCATCTATTTTGATCAATAATTCAGCTATTCCTTACGTCGCGGAACAGAAACAGCTATGCTGTCCTAAAGCACAATCTTGACTCGACAGCACACGTTGATTATGTGATAAACAAAGTGAATCGTTTAACTGATCTTTTGAAGCTCCATACACGTGCACTTTGTATATTAATAATCGTGATATTTTGTTGAATATATAATATGAAATAGAATGGACCATTTATTTCGTAATTCGTATCATACAATTTAAGAATACCAATTGGAGGTGCTAATATTTCTCCATGATAATAACGAAATAAATGTGGTAAAGATTGATAAATTTGTTGATATTTAAGAATTAAATCTAAAGTAACATTATTTATATCATAATATTGTATAACGGAGACAATTGTTTGATTTCGTTTAATATGATTACTATTAGTTGAATTAAAATGAATTTCAATTAATATTTTTTTATTTTCACAATAACCACCATAAAATTGTTTTGTACAGAGACACTTATAGAATATTGGATGGATCATACGTTGTATAACATGTACCGTTATTTGAACATGAGAATGAATCACATTGATCATAACGTAAATGACGTGTTGGTGCGAGATAGTTCGATGAACATAAACATAATGGTTGTTGATTATTTGTTGGACTTTCACCATATTTTGTTTCACATATTGAATTTAATGAACCAAACGATGAACATTGATCATCAAACAGATTACATTTTTTATTATAATAACCTGATTTACGTAGACAAATAAACGAATTGTTTGTTTTTAGGATATGTTGACATGTTGAATTTATATTACAAGGATTTGATGTAGAGTTTATATTAAAAAAACACTCTCGATTGAAAAGTTATATCGTTTTTGTCACTTAACAAGCGGCGCTAGGTTATGATAATTTTTCTTTTACCGTTTACTTTATTATACTAAAGACTTATTTCACTGAGATCATGAGTTTTTGTTATTAGGCTTCCTGCAAATAAGACGTATTTACACCATCTGATATAGGTAATGATCTTATTTACGTATAGATATTATTCACAAATAGAGAACAAAAAGAAAACAAATGTGTAAATACGTCTTATTTGCAGGAAGCCTGTAACTGGGTACTCTAAATAATCAGAAAATGTAACTGAGTACTCTAAGATCCGAAATACTCGGTGGCGTCCCAGGAGAGCGGCAGGTCAACATCATTCATGTTTACAATATCCATTGATTTTCTCGTGAATTACTCCACTTTATAGGTCATTCGATAGAGACTTTCACGAGCTTGAACATGAGCTCTAAGTAAGTCTTTCAGAAATATGCCCACATTGGTCGATAGTTGAAATACTTGGCCGATATAATGATTTTTACCTATCTTAGTGTTTTGAACA